GTTGTGGTGCAAGGTTTACCAGCGGGGTTGTGTTGTATGGTTTACCAGCGGGGTTGTGTTGCGTGGTTTACCAGCGGGGTTGTGTTGTATGGTTCACCAGCGGGGTTGTGTTGCGTGGTTTACCAGCGGGGTTGTGTTGTATGGTTTACCAGCGGGGTTGTGTTGCCTGGTTTACCAGCGGGGTTGTGTTGCATGGTTTACCAGCGGGGTTGTGTTGCGTTGTTTACCAGCGGGGTTGTGTTGCCTGGTTTACCAGCGGGGTTGTGTTGCCTGGTTTACCAGCGGGGTTGTGTTGCCTGGTTTACCAGCGGGGTTGTGTTGCATGGTTTACCAGCGGGGTTGTGTTGCCTGGTTTACCAGCGGGGTTGTGTTGCCTGGTTTACCAGCGGGGTTGTGTTGCCTGGTTTACCAGCGGGGTTGTGTTGTGTAGGCAACACAACCACTTACGCCGGAACGCAAGAACTGTGAAATTAAATCTTTGCAAAAGATTGCCTTTCTCTACTCCTGTTCTTTACTGAAGACTTCAAAGCAGATCCTGAAATACACTCTTGCCTGTGTGTGTGTGTGTGTGTGTGTGTGTGTGTGTGTGTGTGTGTGTGTGTGTGTGTGTGTGTGTGTGTGTGTGTGTGTGTGTGTGTGTGAGTTCACCTAGATGTACTGATCTAGATGTGCTTGCAAGGGGGGGGGCAATAGAGAATTAGCTCCTAGTTCCCCCTTTTCGAGTTACTAACATGCAGAAACTACAAGCAGTGCAAAATAAGGCGCTAAGGAGAGCAGCAAAACACCGTCCACCATATGATCAGACAATCCAGGAGCTCCATGAACTCCTGGATTGGAGGAGCTCCATGAACTCCTGGAGCCACTGAACATCAGACTGCCCAAGCCATCAGGGTGTGGAACACCATCGAAATGTTAGAGAACCCAATGTTAGAAAGATTACTCCAAGATGAGACGCCCCACTCCCACAGCTGGTGGCCCAAGATGAGACGTCCCACTCCCACAGCAGGTGGCCCAAGATGAGACGCCCCACTCCCACAGCTGGTGGCCCAAGATGAGACGTCCCGTTCACACAGCTGGTGGCCCAAGATGAGACGCCCCACTCCCACAGCTGGTGGCCCAAGATGAGACGTCCCGCTCCCACAGCTGGTGGCCCAAGATGAGACGCCCCACTCCCACAGCTGGTGGCCCAAGATGAGACGTCACGCTCCCACAGCTGGTGGCCCAAGATGAGACGTCCCACTCCCACAGCAGGTGGCCCAAGATGAGACGCCCCACTCCCACAGCTGGTGGCCCAAGATGAGACGCCCCACTCCCACAGCAGGTGGCCCAAGATGAAACGCCACACTCCCACAGCTGGTGGCCCAAGATGAGACGCCCTCTCCCACAGCAGGTGGCCCAAGATGAGACGTCCCACTCCCACAGCAGGTGGCCCAAGATGAGACGCCCCACTCCCACAGCTGGTGGCCCAAGATGAGACGTCCCACTCCCACAGCTGGTGGCCCAAGATGAGACGTCCTACTCCCACAGCAGGTGGCCCAAGATGAGACGCCCCACTCCCACAGCTGGTGGCCCAAGATGAGACGTCCCGTTCACACAGCTGGTGGCCCAAGATGAGACGCCCCACTCCCACAGCTGGTGGCCCAAGATGAGACGTCCCGTTCCCACAGCTGGTGGCCCAAGATGAGACGCCCCACTCCCACAGCTGGTGGCCCAAGATGAGACGCCCCACTCCCACAGCTGGTGGCCCAAGATGAGACGCCCCACTCCCACAGCTGGTGGCCCAAGATGAGACGCCCCACTCCCACAGCTGGTGGCCCAAGATGAGACGTCCCACTCCCACAGCAGGTGGCCCAAGATGAGACGCCCCACTCCCACAGCTGGTGGCCCAAGATGAGACGTCCCACTCCCACAGCAGGTGGCCCAAGATGAGACGCCCCACTCCCACAGCTGGTGGCCCAAGATGAGACGTCCCGTTCACACAGCTGGTGGCCCAAGATGAGACGCCCCACTCCCACAGCTGGTGGCCCAAGATGAGACGCCCTCTCCCACAGCAGGTGGCCCAAGATGAGACGTCCCACTCCCACAGCAGGTGGCCCAAGATGAGACGCCCTCTCCCACAGCAGGTGGCCCAAGATGAGACGTCCCACTCCCACAGCAGGTGGCCCAAGATGAGACGCCCCACTCCCACAGCAGGTGGCCCAAGATGAGACGCCCCACTCCCACAGCAGGTGGCCCAAGATGAGACGCCCCACTCCCACAGCTGGTGGCCCAAGATGAGACGCCCCACTCCCACAGCAGGTGGCCCAAGATGAGACGTCCCACTCCCACAGCTGGTGGCCCAAGATGAGACGCCCCACTCCCACAGCAGGTGGCCCAAGATGAGACGCCCCACTCCCACAGCAGGTGGCCCAAGATGAGACGCCCCACTCCCACAGCTGGTGGCCCAAGATGAGACGTCCCGTTCACACAGCTGGTGGCCCAAGATGAGACGCCCCACTCCCACAGCTGGTGGCCCAAGATGAGACGCCCCACTTCCACAGCTGGTGGCCCAAGATGAGACGCCCCACTCCCACAGCTGGTGGCCCAAGATGAGACGTCCCACTCCCACAGCTGGTAGCCCAAGATGAGACGCCCCACTCCCACAGCAGGTGGCCCAAGATGAGACGTCCCACTCCCACAGCAGGTGGCCCAAGATGAGACGTCCCACTCCCACAGCTGGTGGCCCAAGTGCCTCGATTTACTAGATAAAAACCTAGCCCCACAGTACATAATTCCCAGATGAAATACTGACCAGAAATCCCTCCCCCAATAATTAATACATACAAAACTAAATTGTATATATATTTATAAATCAATAAATAATATAGAGCCTTAAACAGAACAACATGTGTGGAAGCATCAGGGTGTGTATATATGAATGCTACACAGTATTCATCTATAGACATCCAAATATGGTGAAACACATGTGAAGAACCTCTCACACACTCACAGCTCCCTGACAAGAAGGAGCCAGCTTAGCTTAGCTGCCAACACCCACACATCGTGTCAGCAAGGCGGACAGCCCGCCTGCTTTCATACCTCTCACTGTATTTCCCACTTCTATACTTCCCTTCACCTATGCCTCTCCCTCATCTTTACTCCCCCCCCCCCCAACAAAAAGTAGAACATCAACACATATGCGTTCCCACAACATCTGAGACCCTTGGCCCTTGAGTAAGCGTGCCATGCGTTTTCTCAAAAATTTAGGTTTTAGGCTCATTGACACAATCAGAGTACCCAAGAGCGGCAAGTTTGCAGTTTCAATGCCTCAGCGTGGCGATCCAGAGGGTAAACGCCTGCTGTGTCCGCGGCTCCTGTCCCCAAGCTGAGGAGCTCCAAGCTCTTCACACAACCTTTAGCCAGTCATTATATTCACAAACCTGTAACTTGTAAATCCGAAGAGCTGTGATGAGGATTCGAACCTATGCACTGGGTGTTACCCAGGCACACGCTCTAGACCACGGCACCACGCCACATGGTATAAGGATAACAACCTGAAGTTCTACTCAACACACGAGGGTTTCCTGAGGCTTCTACTGAAGTCGGACCAGGATTTCCACACAAACCCCTCTACTATATACCACACAAAGGGGTTGTGTGGTATATAGTGTCGTATTGTGTGGTATTGGGAGTCGGTCGGCCGAGCGGACAGCACGCGGGACTTGTGATCCTGTGGTCCTGGGTTCGATCCCAGGCGCCGGCGAGAAACAATGGGCAGAGTTTCTTTCACCCTATGCCCCTGTTACCTAGCAGTAAATAGGTACCTGGGTGTTAGTCAGCTGTCACGGGCTGCTTCCTGGGGGTGGAGGCCTGGTCGAGGACCGGGCCGCGGGGACACTAAAAAAAGCCCCGAAATCATCTCAAGATAACCTCAAGATAGTAAAGTATATCTAACAAAGAAAGTAAGTTAATTCTTATCTATGTTTGCTGATGATGCTTAGCTAATGACGCGAAACAGAACTGAAGACTGCAATTCAAGATAAAGTAGACAATCTCTAGAGATGGTTTGAGAAATGGCTACTAGACGTTAACCCTAACAAATGCAAGGTTATGTTGATAGGAGTCGGAGCAAAGAGACCTCAGATACAGTACAGGAGGAAGGGAAGGCCACGTCCAACTACTGAAGGAGAGAAAGACTCAGGAGTGACATAACTGGATATCTGACACCAGAGGCACACACACCAGCAGGATAACGAGGGCAGCATAATGAAACATTTTTTAGTATAGAGCACCAGCATGGAACTACTACCTAAAGAAACATTAAACTAGAAAACATCAAAAAATAAACATGCAACAAGGCTCGTTCCTGAGCTATGAAGTAAGACTGAAGGAACTAGACCTAGCTACACTGGAGGAAAATAAAGGAATAGGGGAGACATGATAACGACATACAACATACTAAGACGGAACTAAAAACAAGTAGACATAGGAGCAATATAAGGAACAGTGGAACAAGACGACGTAACTGGACACACAGATGAGTCACAACGACTTTTCAGAGTTGTAAATAAGTGGAAGGAACTAAATGAGACGATGTCGAAGACAATTCTCTTCTTCTCGAAGACAACGAGAGAAAAGGAGTCACTGCATTGAACTAATGGTGGTCGAAAGGCGGGAATTAAAGAGCAGATGCTCGATCCTGCAAGCACAACTAGGTGAGCACGTACACACACACACACACACACACACACACACACACACACCACACACACACACACACACACACACACACACACACACACACACACACACACATCCTTTTAAAAAGACCCCACGGAAGTCACCTGAAGAAAAATGAGGCAATGATTCACTCGAGTGCACAATATCTGAAACATTATAGGAACGAGCGATGAAAAACTCTCACTAATGAGCCCAGCAGACATGTCGTAGCGGAAGGCTCCCCCAGGTACCACACGCACGCACACGCACGCACACACGCACACACACACACACGCACTCACCTTTAGCTAAGCTGGGAAGCGCAGCAAGTAAGGTCAGGAGGACCCGAATGCAGTTGGTACTTCGCCTCTTGGTCCCATAGGCATGGTTGATGGGGTAGCCGCCCGTGGCATCCCAGCTATGGTTGGGGGTGTGGGTGGTGGTGACGTAGTGGGCGTGGGAGATGCTACTGGTGCTGCAGGAGGCATGGGAGGTACTGTTCGAGGCATGGGAGGTACCGTTGGAGGTATGGAAGGTGCTGCTGCTGCTGGTGGCGCGAGCTTTGCACCTGTGTGGTGGAGAGGTGTCCTGAAAACTAGGAATTGTGTGGGTCTTGGAGCCCTTCGTTAAGGCGAGGACAACATCCATGCCGCCACAACAGGCAGAGACATCAAAATCAGCGTCTTCAGCGCCATCAACGCTACGCTCGATAACGCATACGCCACAGGGATCACCGTTATGGTTGATATCCCAGCGGTGATCCTGTACTTCACTGCCAGTGCCGGGGGTCTCGGCACTGTCTGCGATGCCGCAAACGTCACTGTAATCAGTGCCACGGGAGAGACTTCCGCTCGGGAGACGTCGCATTGTCACTGCTCTCAACAACGGGGGAGGCCACAGTGTCTCTCCTTCAAGGACGCCGCAAGCGGTCACATCGCTGGAAACTTGAGTTCGAAGCTACAAGCTCCTTCGCAAATCGCATCTCTGTCCATACTCTCAATCGTCACGTCGTTAACTACACTACTTCGAAAGCGTCGTCATCCTCTTAAAGCGATTGTGATTGGCTATCTTTGTGTGTGTATACATACATATGTATCTGTACACATATATATGTATCCTTGACTTTACCCCAGAGGAAAAATTATGAAACAAGTAATCATACGGTTCAAATAATTTCCACTCTTTTTTTCTCAGCACTTAAACTCTTAATTTCTCATGATATTTCGTCTGTCTCAAGATTGATGAGTTTTCTCATCGTTCTCATCAAGCGGCGAGTATAGCATTGTCTTCCTCGGCAAGTCACTTTTCTTATATCATCGAATTCCCTCACAAACACACGTCTTTAACGCCCATATGGGAGCCCAGCGAAGTGTATGCGCGCGTCCTTTGGCTTGTCCTTAGGAGAATTACCTTGTTAGTGGATGGTTGAGCTCTTCGTCAGTGGGTGCTTGAGCTCTTAGGCAAGTGGTGCTCAAGATTGAGCTCATGGCCACTTCAGGGTTTTAGTAGTGACTTCGTAGCTTTAGCAGTGACTTCGTAGCTTTAGGATTGAGTTCGTAGCTTTAGGATTGAGTTCGTAGCTTTAGGAGTGACTTCGTAGTTCTAGGAGTGACTTCGTAGCTTTAGAATTGACTTCGGAGCTTCGGGAGTTACTTCGGGGCTTCCTTTTGACCCCACCTGCTCCAGAACCCTGAAATTGAAAAAAAAAATTATAATTTACATAACTGGCGAATAATCTAACGCTCTGGACTATTTTGTACTCTCAGTACTTCTAATCCTGGTACTGCTGCCATACACACTGATGTAAATAATACAGTAATACAAATATCAATACATGTGTATGATTCGTTCAACGCAGGAGAGCATCTCATCCAAGAAGTCATCCAAGGAGAAGTCCTTCAAGAAGAAGTCTTTCAAGGAGAAGTCTTGATACTCGAGCCGCTTCTTGTAATTGAGAAGATTGACTACGAAGAAGAGAGAGGACTTAGACCTTGCCAAATATTATATTGTTAAATTACTTAATTGTGTGTTGATAGTTAACTCTATGGTATTTCCTCTCTTAAAGGCCAGTTGTAACTCGTTTGCCAGAGTGCAAATCTGTGGAATTGTTTGCACTTACAATCAAGTGTATTTACTACTGTACTAAAGAGTGCACTCATCGTAGTGAGTGCATTCATTACATTCACAAATATGTTCAGAGTGCACTTATATTATTCAAGTGACTAACACATACCCTTGCACTCAAGTGAGCCCTCACTTAGGTGAGTGCAACTGGAGAAAGAATGAACGCAAGCAGCTTTATGCTTGCACTCTCACACGCTGTTTTTTTGAGTACAAGTTAGAACAGGTCAGTCGTACGACAACTTCAATTTCTGGAATCCGTTTGATAGCGAGTACGAAAGACTGGTGTTGACTCAAGTGATATCATTTACTCTCATAATTCTGCGATAACGAGTGATATATATTATTATCATTAGTTGTATTATTAATTATTTACGCAATTAATTGCATTGATATTAATATCTATAATTTTCCATTTGCATTCACGACACTAATAATAATAATTAATTATTATTAATAATAATACACAATCACATTGGCGTGAGGTATCAATGAGAAAGTCAGTACGAGGGTTCGAATCTGTACACTCTGGGTACTTTTGGCTTTAAATAACGTTTTAGTAACGGTAAAGTTTCGGGAAGAAAACGTTTTAAAAACAGTAAAGTTTCGTGAAAAAGTCTTAAAACAGTAAAGTTTCGTGAAAAAAAGTCTTAAAAACAGTGAAGTTTCGTGAAAAAAGTCTTAAAAACAGTAAAGTTTCGTGAAAAAACGTCTTAAAAACAGTAAAGTTTCGTGAAAAAACGTCTTAATAACAGTAAAGTTTCGGGAAGAAAACGTCTTAATAACATTAAAGTTTCAGGAAGAAAAGTCTTAAAAACAGTAAAGTTTCGCGAAAAAAGTCTTAAACACAGTAAAGTTTCGGGAAGAAAAACGTTTTAAGAAGCAACTGTTTCGGAAAGTGCAGCAACGTTTTGGTAAACATCAAAGCTTCGTTAAACATAAAAAAACAAAATCGTTTTCAGGCCCAGAGCGTCGTAATAGTTGGGAGATCGAGCGAGGAACTTGTGTTTGAATGTGTCTAGGAGAGATTATTGGCACCTCCATGTAGGCACTATTGGTCCCGGGAATGACCCAAGTGGAGGTAATGTGGGTGGAGACTATTCCAGCTCCAGTTAATTGATTCCAATCCTTGATAAATGGTCCCATGAGGGGTATCGGGAATATATTTTGGGGGAGGGAGAGAGAGAGAGAGAGAGAGAGAGAGAGAGAGAGAGAGAGAGAGAGAGAGAGAGAGAGAGAGAGAGAGAGAGAGAGAGAGAGAGAGAGAGAGAGAGAGAGAGAGAGAGAGAGAGAGAGAGAGAGAGAGAGAGAGAGAGAGAGAGAGAGAGAGAGAGAGAGAGAGTCTCCGTGGTGTAGTGGTAAGACACTCGCCTGGCGTTCCGCGAGCGCTATGTCATGGGTTCGTATCCTGGCCGGGGAGGATTTACTGGGTGCAATTCCTTAACTGTAGCCTCTGTTTAACGCAACAGTAAAATGTGTACTTGGATGAAAAAACGATTCTTCGCGGCAGGGGATCGTATTCCAGGGACCATAGGATTAAGGACTTGCCCGAAACGCTACGCGTACTAGTGGCTGTACAAGAATGTAACAACTCTTGTATATATCTCAAAAAAAAAAAAAAAAAGAGAGAGAGAGAGAGAGACAGAGATAGAGAGAGAGAGAGAGATAGATAGAGAGAGAGAGAGAGAGAGAGAGAGAGAGAGAGAGAGAGAGAGAGAGAGAGAGAGAGAGAGAGAGAGTAATAGGAAGTGCCCTAACTGGTACAAAAGAAATGTTATTTATGCTAACATCAATCGAGCATTTTCACACAGCTTCAGTTCCTAACAAGTTAATAAGGAACAGATCAAAGCGCAACAAGTCGTTGTCAACAACGACTTGTTGACTTCCAATGGTCACGTGTAATTCATCAAAAGGACGGCGAACCACCACCCCACCACTAACGAAGAGGCCAATGCTAAGAATCTTTTCCCTTCCTTTAATACTCTAGAACAGTGACGCACAAGATAGAGGAAAGATTCCTGGAAAATGACACAAACAGGACATGGCTACACGACACCAAGCTCCCTACATGCTACAAGACCAAGGAGATCACCAACTTGCTCACAAAGAACTCTCCTGACGCTAAAGGAAATACCTTAAAAGAGGTTAGTATCGTGAAGGTGATTCACTGAAGACTGCCAGCCCCAATGCTCTCAATATATCAACCGTGATGTTATCTCCTTCAAGTTGCCTGATAATGCACAAACAACATTCAAATATTGTTTCTACACACGCACACACTTAGACTATCATCAAATTATCCTGTACAGCAACTTTGAGAACACATTCACCAAAAGGAGAATAGACATAGCCAAAGCACTTCACAGTAAGCACACTCTTCGTATTTTCAACAGCCAACTTACCCCTAGGATCATCCTACCATCTTCAAAACCACGCAGTGCTACCAGTTTGAACCACACCTATGAAGCTGGTTCACACGTGAACCACACGTGTGAACCACTACCTGTCGAATGGGAATAGGGCAGTAATTATCAAGTTTCCTCGAAAGAGTAACCACATCACCTTTTTCCACACCTGCATGGGACGTATATTACATGTTTTTATTCACATGTTCTCTAACTACGAGGGTGCTAAGGTGTAGCTCCGAGGGTGCTAAGGTGTAGCTCCGAGGGTGCTAAGGTGTAGCTCCGAGGTGCTAAGGTGTAGCTCCGAGGGTGCTAAGGTGTAGCTCCGAGGGTGCTAAGGTGTAGCTCCGAGGTGCTAAGGTGTAGCTCCGAGGGTGCTAAGGTGTAGCTCCGAGGGTGCTAAGGTGTAGCTCCGAGGGTGCTAAGGTGTAGCTCCGAGGGTGCTAAGGTGTAGCTCCGAGGTGCTAAGGTGTAGCTCCGAGGTGCTAAGGTGTAGCTCCGAGGGTGCTAAGGTGTAGCTCCGAGGGTGCTAAGGTGTAGCTCCGAGGTGCTAAGGTGTAGCTCCGAGGGTGCTGAGGTGTAGCTCCGAGGTGCTAAGGTGTAGCTCCGAGGTGCTAAGGTGTAGCTCCGAGGTGCTAAGGTGTAGCTTAGTTAAACGTGTTCTTTTACGCCGTGAGTCATTCTCAGTGAAATTGGAACAATAACTTTTAGAGAACAATTTTTCCCACACCTTCTCAATTAAAGAACTTGAGTAATATTTAAGATTCGTGTTGGACTCACTGCTGTAGCACATTTCATCATATTCCATTATATAAATGTATGTGTGTGTACTCACCTAGTTGTGCTTGCGGGGATTGAGCTCTGGCTCTTTGGTCCCGCCCTAAAGGGACGTTGTGTATTCACCTAGTTGTGTTTGCAGGGGGTGAGCTTTGCTCTTTCAGCCCGCCTCTCAACTGTCAATCAACTGTTTACTAACTACTTTTTTTTCCACACCATACACACACACCCCAGGAAGCAGCCCGTGACAGCTGACTAACTCCAAGGTACCTATTTACTGCTAGGTAACAGGGGCATTCAGGGTCTTTTGCTCATTTGTTTCTGCCTGGTGCGGGAATCGAACCCGCGCCACAGAATTACGAGTCCTGCGCGCTATCCACTAGACCACCAGGTCCCCTCCTGTATGTGTGTGTGTGTGTGTGTGTGTGTGTGTGTCTGTGTGTGTGTGTGTGTGTGTGTGTGTGTGTTTCAATACACACAACACAACATTCTAAACACCAACACCATTCTGAGGGATCAGAGGTTCCTGAACCTTTCTCTCCACTCCAACTCAACAAGTTTTCTTCCATCAGAATATCCAGGCTAAGCTGAAGCTCTTGGGCCTATAGAGTTCCTCCTTCCGTATAGTTTGATATAAAAAATCCAACCATCCCCTTCTGCCTAGTTATATTTATATTTAAAACTCCATACTGTTATGGAGTGAGCCTCCACTCCCCCTCCATGTATGAAGTTAGCCTTAGGGACAAATCCACAAGGGCCGTAACGAGGATTCGAACCTGCGTCCGGGAGCATCCCAGACACTGCCTTAATCTCTGTGTGTTAGCCTTAGGGGTTTGAGCACTACAAGGGGCAAGGGAGGGTGTGTGCTGTTGATGCATTGGAAAATACTTAAGCTGCACCAATTCTATGAGCTCCTCACGCTTTAAGGTGGTCGCTATATCACGGTTCTTACACGCTAGGGTGGCCGCTATATCAAGGTGGTTCCCGTTACATGGCGAAATTTGTAATCGATTATATATTAATATTGAATTCTAATGTTGTGAGGTGGTGGTGTGTGTAGGTGGGTGTTGGTACCGTGCAGCTGTACCGTGCAGCTGTACCATGCAGCTGTACCGTGCAGCTGTACCGTGCAGCTGTACCGTACAGCTGTACCGTGCAGCTGTACCGTGCAGCTGTACCATGCAGCTGTACCGCGCAGCTGTACCTCGAGCCAAGGTGAGGCATAAGATACATTCTCCGCTGTATCTCTCAACGACACAGCAACTTTAAGAGGTAGCGATAAGCCTGTTTGGTTAAGGCTGTGTTAAGGCTGTTTGGTTAAGGCTGTGAGTGTGGTTAAGGCTGTGTGGTTAAGGCTGTGAGTGTGGTTAAGGCTGTGTGGTTAAGG